CCTTCATACCAATTTTCGTTTACAGTAACAAAATGGAAACCCTACGCACGGATCGACTGTTTTGGGACGATATTGACGCTCGGATTGGGTTGAGCCGGAGGGAGGCGTTGGCCAAAAATGATCATGGCGGATTTGGGGGTATGTTAATTTTGATCTGTTTTGTAGCTTTCTCAGATTTTTACTCGCAAAAATATCAATAAATATTTTTAGTTGTTCCTTAAAATGCTTTGTTTCCAGAAGCGGCGTTCGAGGCTTTTGACCAATATCGGCATTATATCAATGGCAAGCGTGGAGGGGTTATTAATGCGCCGACATCTTGGGTAAATAAAAAAAATTATTTGCTATTTGGACTCCGATTTTACAATTTCTGAACCTCTACAAGCTAGAACGGCTTCTTTAGGAATTTTTGACGCCTACAACTCAATTTTTCAGGTCGAAGCAGCAGCTTTCCAGCACGGCGCGGCTTCGATGATGTCGATTGGGTACCGGCAAGTGGAAATCCAGGTGATTTAATTTAACCCGGATTCTTTGGAGAGTTTTGTCAGATACAATACAAAGGGGCCATAATTTTTTGAAAATTTTAGTCAGCCAACAACCTGACCTTCATAACCCGCTGGATATCGGCAAGCAGCAGCGAGAGTAGGTTTTAATGCCCCCGGTTTAACAATTTAGCACGGTGAATTCGCTCGATTTCGCTGGGCTTTCACAACAATTGAGAGGAGCGGCCTTGGCAGGTAGATAGAGCAATAGAAAGTAGCATACTACGTTTAAAGATTAAATCTACGTCATCTCACAAGCACTCTAAATAAATTTTATTTCCCCTGTAGCTTTATATGACGAAAAACGGAATCAATCTCTATTTTTCTGAATTTAATCCCTGCAGTTTTATGACACTTTTCTGCATGGTAAGTTGTTTTACAACAATTTTTCAGGTTCAACGAGGCCATCTCGACCTGTGGGGCGATTTGCGTATGATGGCCATGGTGGGGTTCTGCTCAAATTTGACGGAATTTTTGTCCTCGGTGTGCCATTAGGGAAGCTTTTAATATAACTCATTGGGTCTCGGTTTATTGAGTAAGAGTTATCTATATTTTTGTAGGCGAAAGACGCGCCGGCCTGGAATTCTCACCGAACCTACGGATCGTTGAGGTTGTCCTGGCTAGTTAGAGGTAAGCCTTTATCACAGATGGAAAACTATCGACAAACATACCCTTTGAACTTATTTCCTTTGACCTCGCTTTTACACTTTATTATTTATACTTTGTAGGCTACAAACTCCTCGGGTCGGTCTGGGTGGAAGATGATGAGCGGAGAAAGCTCAGCCGAGGAATTCCAGCAGAAATTCCTGACCCGAGCGGAAGGCGATAAGATTATGCCGGCCATCATTTTACAAAAGGTTTTGTAGAGATGGGAGGTAGGAGAGGATTAATAAATATATATCGATGAATGTAGATAAAAGAGGCTCTGAAAACACTCTTCAGAAAGTTTTAATAGTTCCCTTAAATTTCTCGTCAATAACATTGAAGTACGCACCTCGAAACAGTCCGAACACAAAAACCAAGGCAGGGAAAATAATTCTACATAATAAAGAATACGCAAATAATAACTATGGTAAAATAAGGTCAGGGCGACTATTATTTTTGCCTTGCTGTGGCCCTTCCAAACCCCTATTAGCCGATTGATAAAGAAAGCAAGATGATCCAGGGGAAACCAAAAATGAGCCCCCGGAACGATGATGGATCATTTGTACTGGGAAAATGGAATGAGCGCGCCTGGCGGACATACTGATTCCGGTTGGTAGCCCCCGAAATGTTTCGGAGCTGTTCTAGGGGTGGGCTTTATTCTAGTGGTACCGTATGTTCAAGAAATTTGCTTTTGTGTCCGATTAAAGTTTTGATTAGCTATGAAAAGTGCTTGGTTACTATTTTTCTTTTATTAAGTTGTCATTATATACACTTAATGTTACGTATGCTGTCTGACAAGGTTTGTGTTTTGAGTCATCGGCAAAAACGCGACCTAGCTCCTCTGGACAGAGGATTGAATTCTGAACAAGATCCGAAAGAAAGCGATTTTTGCGAAATAGCTGTTTCCGAAAATTTAGAAATATTTATAAAATTAAAAAACTAGTAGACTGTCTGGTTCCGCATGAGTGCCCTTCGAGAAAAAGAGAGGCCTTGGGTGTATTTTAAAAAAATCAAATTTAGAGAAATTAAGGATAGCTATTCCAAGCAAAAAAAGGATAACGTAGACCTGTTGAGAATCGAATTCTGTATCGTATTCCTGTATTCTGGTCGTAAGGCTCAAAAAACACTCCTGGTTAGCGGCAATAGGTTTTACTACCTGATCGACTCGAAGACAAAGCGAAAATGCTTTTTAATTTGATCTGTTAGTATCTAGCAAGATAAATTTAAAATCCTCTCTAACGAACCCAATTACCTATAATCTATAATTCTTGACTTGCCGGTCCCTTTGAGCTGCTAGAAATTTTACCCTACCATGTTCCGCAGCCCCACCAACCATCCACCGTACGTCCGATCAGTTAGGCGAATCTACCCGGAGCGCCGTCAATGAACCTCCAGCATTTTCCCTAGACAATCGGATGCCTTGCTAGGGCTTTTGCTTTCTGTTTCCAGTGAAGATCTATCAGCAAGTGACAGACAGTTTGGGTGGGAGTTTTTAGCATCGGCTGGATTTTGCGGCACGTATATAACCCGGGGAAAGAGAATGACTGACCGGGTTACGGTAGTCGTCGGAAAGGGAAAGCTAATAAATTCTCTGAATCTAATAAAAGCGGACATTCACCATGAAATATGGATTTGTAGTTGCTGTATTTTTGCTGGCGTCAGTTTTGCAAGCAAGCCGGGAGCTTAGAGCCGTTCTATTATCGGGGGAAGGGTTTGTATCGTATTCAACGAAGTTTGATCGCTAGAAATTTTCGATTCTGGATTTTACGATTTCATTACACTTTTTTTTCGGAATTAAAGCGACACATATGCTAGCTATTTTGTTGGCGTAAACTTTGCAAGTAAGCTGGGATATTGGAGCTGTTCTATTAACGGGGGGAGGGTGTTTTGTACCGTATTCAATGGAACCGGAATTCTTAAAAAGATTTGCATTCCATCACGCTCTGTTCCACATATTTTTTCCTTTTTAGTCGAAGATGTCTGGCTGGGGCTCCAGGTCAGGAGCATGGTAAGGTGGTGCTTTCTATCCTTTAGCGAACGTTTTAGAAAGAAACCGGCATCGGCCTCGAATTTTGTAAAATTCCAAAAACCGGCTCAACGATCGTGGGCAACATTCTATGCGATGTGATTCGAGAATACCATGGGATCACCTACGCGCAGAATATCTCCGACAGGCTGGATGGGGAATTGTGGGTGTTAAATTGCTATCAGTTGTTAGGAGTTTTGGTGTCGACAAATAATTAATAATATTACAAAGACGATTTACACGAACAATGCCTTTTTAAATGTTGCATTTATTAAGGGGACAAATTTTACGATTTATTGATCGGGAATCGACTACCGTTTTTATGCAACCGAATTCCAAAAAATAGGCTTTAAAGCTAATTAAAAACCAAGTAGTTGAATATTTATATCGCTTATATATTTTATTTTAAATTCATATTGATTTTTATTTTATAAGATATATTACAAGTAAAATTTATTAACTAAAAATCTAATAAATATTCAATATTCGATATTTTACAGTATATTTTAAGGAAATTAGTCAGAAAATTCACATGATCAAAAGAAAATATATAGAATACGATCTGTCGGCTTCGTAAGCGCAATTTCTCTGACCCGGCTAAATTTTCTAATAATTCTTTGGTAAAATTCAGCCCCTGCTTTGCCCACAACACCTTCAAAAGATTCAATAACGGCGTGGCAAAATGGAAACTGCAGAAAAAGATAAAATTCGCCGTCGTCCGAGACCCCATCGATCGTTTTGTATCGATGTACGGCCATTTCTGCTTGTGAGTTATTGCTGGACGCCTTCACCAGGTTCAGGCTCTTACGAAAATGCCAAGGCCGCGACATTCACGAATTTGCCGAGAAGGTGCACGACGCACTAATGCATCGAATCTCATTTGTGAATCGTGATCCCGATATCAAACTGCATGTTCTGCCTCAAGCCGAGTCGGTTTTGTCAATTTTTTCCCTTATCTACCTTGCTTTTCAGTTTCTGTGATCTGGGCAGCAACCTGGAGCAGTACGAGGTCATCTACTGGTCTGAGGATCGTCTGAAAATGAAGAAACAATTTGAGGGACTATTTGAAAAGGCGGGAGTACCAAAGGAAATTGTCGCAAAGGTAATTGGAAAATATCCTTAAAAACGTTATGGTTTTGTAGGTGTTACGGCATTTGACCGAGTCAAGCACGTCGCATGCGCAGAGGGACAACGACCGAAAATCGAGGTTGAAAGCGGCGATTGTGGAAACGCCGAGTACCGCGCGGCTAGTGCGCGCCATTTATTATGCCGATTGTTGCGGTGTTTAATTTTCAAGTAGC